AGGAGGCCTAGGGAATCTATTGAGCCTTGGGCAGCAGATCAGTACGCATCCCAAGTATACACACGGACTTTGGACTCCCATAGAACAATGTGAGGTGCACTCTCACCCTGAACTCTTGGGGAAGGGTTTAGGCCCTGACCTATATGAAATGACAGACTATGGACACCTCCATGGAGGGCCTCACCCTCCCTGAGGTAATGAGGGGATAACGGGGGAGGGGGTGTTGGGTGGAGGGTATGGGAGGAGGGGAGGGAAAGGGAGAGGGACCTGGAATTGACTTGTGAAGCAACCTTTTTTCTTATCTAAATTTAAACTGGAAAAAAATAAATAAATAAAATTATTCAGAACTCAAAAAAAGAAATAAAAAAAGAAATTAAAGACTTCCTCGAATACAATGAGAATGAAGACACAACATACCCAAACCTATGAGACACTTTGAAAACAGTGCTACGGGGGAAGTTCATAGCACTAAGTGCTCACATGAAGAAACAGGAGAACAGTTATACCAGAGAATTAACAGCACAGCTGAAAGCTCTAGAGCACAAAGAAGCAAACTCCCCCAAGTAGATGCCAGGAAATAATCAAATTGAGGGCTGAAATCAATAAAGTAGAAACTAGGAAAACAATACAAAGAATCAATGCAACAAAGAGTTGGTTCTTTGAGAAAATCAACAAGATAGACAAACCTTTGTCAAAACTTACCAAACAGCAGAGAGTGAATGTGCAAATTAACAAAAGCAGAAATGAAAAGGGGGATATAACAACGGACTCTGAGGAAATCCAGAGAATCATCAGGTCATACTTTGAAAACCTGTACTCCACAAAATTCGAAAATTTAAAGGAAAGTCAAAGAACAGCTTATACCAATTCTTCTCAAAGAATTCCACACAATAGAAGCAGAAGGGTCTTTGCCAAACTCTTTCTGTGAGGCTTCAATAACCTTGATCCCCAAGCCACACAAACACACAACTGAGAAAGAGAACTTCAGACCAATATCCCTCATGAACGTTGATGCAAAAATAATAAAATACTGGCAAATTAGATCCAAGGACACATGAAACAATCATTCACCATGATCAAGTAGGTTTCATTGCAGGGATAGTTCAACATACGAAAATCCATCAATGTAATCCACCATATAAACAAGCTGAAAAACAAAATTCACATGATCATCTCACTAGATTCTGAAAAAGCTTTTGACAAAATCCAACACCCTTTCATGATAAAGGTCTTGGAGAGATCTAGGATAACAGGGACATACTTAATCATAATAAAAGCTATATACAGTAAACCAACAGCCAACATCAAACTAAATGGACAGAAACTCAATGCAATTCCTCTAAAATCAGGAACAAAACAAGGCTGTCCACTCTCTCCATACATTTTCAACATGGTACTTGAAGTTCTAGCCATTGCCATACAACAACAAAGGGGGATCAAGGGGATACAAATTGGGAAGGAAGAAGTCAAACTTTCACCGTTTTCAGATGATACGATAGTTTACATCAGTGACCCAAAGAACTCTACCAGGGAACTCTTACACCTTCAGCAAAGTGGCAAGCTACAAAATCAACTCAAGAAAATCAGTAGCCCTACTATATACAGATGATAAAAGGGCTGAGAAAGAAATCAGAGAAACATCACCCTTTACAATTGCCACAAACAACATAAAATACCTAGGGGAAATGCTCACTAAACAAGTGAAAGACCTGTATCACAAGAACTTTGAATCTTTAAAGAAAGAAATTAAAGAAGCCCTCAGAAAACATAAAGATCTTCCATGCTCTTGGATAGGTAGGATCAATGTAGTAAAAATGGCAATCCTGCCAAAAGCAATCTACAGGTTCAATGCAATCCCCATTAAAATCCCAGCACAATTTTTCACAGACCTTGAAAGAACAATAATCAATTTTGTATGGAAAAACAAAAGAACCAGGAGAGCCAAAACAATCCTGTTCAACAACGCATGGTCCAGAGTCATCACCATCCCTGACCTCAAGCTCTATTATAGAACTATAGTCCTGACAACAGCTTGGTATTGGCAAAAAAAATTGACAGGTAGACCAATGGAATCGAACTGAAAACTCGGATACTAACCCACACACATATGAACATCTGATCTTTGACAAAGAAGCTAAAAATATACAATGGAATAAAAAAAGCATCTTCAACATATGGTGCTGGCATAACTGGAGGCTGGCATGTAGAAGAATGTGGATCGATCCATGTTTATCGCCATGCACAAAACTTAAGTCCAAATGGATCAAAGACCTCTATATAATCCAGCCACACGGAAACTCTTATAAGAGAAAGTGGGTGGTAACCTTGAACGAATTGGTACAGGAGGCAGCTTCCTGAACATAACACCAGTAGCACAGACAGTGAGATCAACAATTAATAAATGGGACCTCCTGAAACTAAGAAGCTTCTGTAAGGCAAAGGACACAGTCAGCAAGACAAAAAGGCAGCCCACAGAATGGGAAAAAATATTCACTAATCCCAAATCTGACAGAGGGTTGATATCCAAAATTTCCAAAGATCTCAATAAGCATGTCTCCAAAACACCAAAGGATCCAATTAAAAAGTGGGCTGCAGAACTAAATAGAGAATTTTCAATAGAGGAGTCTAAAATGGCTGAGAGGCACTTGAGAAAGTGTTCAACATCGTTAGCCATCCGGGAAATGCAAATCAAAACAACTCTGAAATACCATCTCACTCCTGTCAGAATGGCTAAAATCAAAAACACCAATGACAATTTATGCTGGAGAGGATGTGGTGAAAGGGGAACACTCCTCCATTGCTAGTGGGAGTGCCAACTTGTTCAGCCACTTTGGAAATCAGTATGGAGATTCCTCAGAAAAATGGGAATAAACCTACCACAAGACCCAGCAACTCCACTCTTAGGCATATATCCAAAAGATGCCCGTTTATACAACAAGGATGTCTGTTCCACTATGTTCATAGCAGGATTATTTGCAACAGCCAGAACTTGGAAACAACCTAGATGACCCTCAACTGAAGAGTGGATAGAGAAAATGTGGTACATTTACACAATGGAGTATAATTCAGCCGAAAAAAACAATGAAATCCTGAGGTTTGCAGGCAAATGGATGACACTAGAAGAAACCATCCTGAGTGAGGTAACACAGTCACAAAAAGAGAAACAAGACATGTACTCTCTCATATATGGATTTTAGACATAGATCTGGGGAGTTCCAGCCTACAGTCCCATGGTCAGAGAGTCTGGGAAACACAAACTTTATTAAGTGGCTGATGGAAAAAGAGGCAGACTCCTATGGCTAAACACTGAATTGAACTCAAGAAAGCCAGTAACAGAGAGGGAGGACTGATGACCAAAGGGATTAAGACTGGGCTGGTTTACCCCTCAGAAACAGCTGACCAGACAAAGCTTAACTCTTGAATCCCAGACATCAGCTTGGGAATCCAACATAGGACCCATCAAAACCCCCTGAATGTGGGTGTCAGTGAGGAGGTCTAGGAAATCTATTGAGCTTGGGCAGTAGATCAGTACTCCATTGTGTCCTTCATATTGCCACTCAGAGAAACTTGAATGATTCAGAGGTAGCAGTACTCTTTGGAGATCAAGGGACTGAAGCATCTATCTTGGGGCCCACATGGGTCTGCATTAGATGCTCTGCACATATGTTACGTTTGTTAGCTTGGTGTTTTTGTGGGACTCCTAACAACAGTAGCAACATTGTCTCTGACTCCTTTGCCTGCTCTTTGGACTCTTTCCTCCTATGAAGTTCCCTTCTCCAGCATTGATACGACAGCTTTTCCCTTCTGCTGTTTTATCTTGTTTTATCATGTTTGGGTGATAATTCTTGTAGGCCTGCTTTTTTCTGAAGGAAATCAGAGGAGGAGTGCATCTAGAGAAATGGGAGTTGGAAGGGAATGAAGAGACAGGTAGAGAGTGGAAATAGTGATCGGGGTGTATTTTATGAGAGAATACTCTACTTTCAATTTTAAAAAACTAAAAACAAACAGGAAAAACCCAGGACAACCAGATTCTACCGGTGTAGACCTGAGGCCCAGAGGAGGTAAATGCCAGGGATTTCAGGAACCCGTTCCCCCAAGGTGAGCCTCCTTCTGCTTCACTTCCAGTCCACAGTCATCCCTTTCTGGATCAGTCTGCACATACTGCTCATCCAGACTACTGGAGGTGCCCCTGTACACCACGACCAAGGAGCGACCCCGTGGTGAACTGCCCTTGTTGTGCTCCTCCAGGGCAGCCTAGGACAGTGTGGCTCTTCTACCCCCACTGGGGTCCCTGGCAGGCAGGAACTGACACTGAGGCAGAGCCCAACCTCCCTCCCCAGCTACTCTGTCCACCTTGCCAGGAAAGGCAGAAGATGCCAGTGAGGGAGAAAAAGAAAAGCCCATGGAGCGGCAGCAGTGGTCTCAAAATGCGTGGGTTTAAAAAAGTGTGAAATCTCCAGCTATTGCAGATCCCAACCTCCTGCAAGACAAATAGTGGAGGGGAAGATTCTTTAAGAAAAACATGCTTGGCTTGGTTTTGAAGTCTATGTCAGCTCCTGTCATGGGTGGTCTCTGGAGGAGAACAGTCTAAAGCAACAGTCATCATGGGTGAGGATGATGAATATGAAACTTACTACACTCACTATCAACATCTACACGAGGACCAGGGGAAGGCTTTGACATTCCCAAGTCTGTAGGGTGTTGGCAATGGTGACAATTCTGTGTTGATGTCAACAATGCAATACACTTACATTCCAAAGTATGATGTCCACAGGGTAGCAAGGAAGACTGAAGAGGAAAGCAATGCTGTGCAGAGAAATAAGAAATGAAGAATTGGCACTACACAGGATATAGAAGACAGAAACAGGGATCTGCTGCTAGGGGGAATCTCTCCTACAAAAACCGCACAAAGAATTCAGGAATTCCAGTCACATAACAGGTATTGTACCACATATACAGACACTCAGTACTCAGCAGAGATATCATATCTACTTTTAGACTCTTGATTGCCAACATTTTATTGAGGTGTAGAAGGGGGCATCTAGGTTCTCATCTTAGGACTCTGTAAAGGCCCCATGGGCTCTCTTCTGCTCTTCCAAGCATCCAGCAATAGAACTCCAAGGGTTAACACAATGAAGATAGCCATAATGTGCCGGACGCGATTGTCTAAAATGTAATTTGAAGCAGAAGACACTGTAGAGGAAAAGAAAAGCAAAATTTCAAGATTTTATCTCAACAAACATCAACTTTATTTTGAACTTCTATCTCTTAAAGGACCACATGAGGTGATATATTATTAATTATTTATTAAAGCTTGCCTGAATGTTCAGAAAGCAAATACAGTCGCAAGCTACAGAGACAAGGTGGTGGTGGTAAACACCTTTAATCCTACCACTTGGGATGCAGAGTTAGACAGATTTCTGTCAGTTCAAGGCCACACTGAGGTTCATAACATATATCCAGTCCTAAAGAGAAACTGCTCACACAAAGAGGGTCTCAGCACTTGGGATCACACACCTTTAATCCCAGGATTCATGAGAGGTATTTAAGAAAGGAACAGGGTCTCAGAGCTGTCATTCATTCTCCAGCCCCATTGAGGATAGGAAGGCTCAGTCTGAGGATTCTCCAGCCATATTGAGGAGAGCATAGCTGTCTGGAATTTCAGCCTGAGATTTGGTGGAGACAGGATGACCTTTGAGACTGAGGTAGAGGAAAGAGCTAGTGGCCGGATGTTTTGATTTTCTGATCTTTGGCTTGAAGCTTAAAACCCCAAGATTAGTCTCTGGGTCTTCTATTTATTGTACTGCCATTGGAGCCCAGCCTTAAAGTAGGAATTCACGAAAAAAGCCTCTTTGAGGCCACCAGGCCTGGCCCAAAGCTGTGCTGCAGGCAGGGACTCCTGCCTGAGTCCCTGCATGACCAGCTGGGCTTTCTTTTACCTGGACACATGGGGGAGGGCTTGGACCCTGCCCGGAATGATGTGACAGACCTTGAAAATTCCTCCATGGAAGCCCTTATCCTCTCTGGGGAGCAGAGGGAAGATAGAGTAGGGGTTTCAGAGAATTGGAGTGCGGGGAGGAGGAGAGGAAGAGTGAGCTAGGAGTAACATATGTAAAAAGCTAACTAATTTAAGAATTAATAAAAAAGAAAATGGAAAAATAAAACTTACTTGTTTCCTAAAAAATAAATAAATAAAATAAAATCCATCAACAAATGTTGCACATAAGTGAACACCTAGATATGTGCAGGCACCAACAACAACTCTGTATGCCACCTGCTCACATAAAAACTCACCATGTGCAATCCCCATCTATTCTACGTGGGATTTCTTCCTCCTGCCTCCTCATGTCTGTCTTTCCTCTTTACCCTGTGTGCACTTGATGTTTTCTATCCCAAGTTTTCTATCTCATGAACTTCGATGTCCCTGCCCACTTTGTTCTCCAAACCTGAATCATGTCCAGTCTGTTAGAGCCCCAAGACATCCCAAATGACCAGAGGTTCTAAGATATAAAGAAATAAGTCTCCTCCATAAAGAAATCTGGCACTGCTGTTTCTGAGTTCTCTTCTGTCAATGTTTCTTACGTTCTCCACAGGACTGATGTACTGATGGTTTTTCAGAGGAGACACTGTGAGGACAAAAGGTGGTGGGACAGGAAAGTGTAGCACTCATCCCTCATCAAGGAAACTTCATCACGCAGCAGTCAAAGACCATTGCATATTACATTACATATAACACTACTACAGACACAACAAACCAAAATGCAGAGTTGTGGAGCTCAGCTGCAATGCATACATATACAAAACAAGTCCTACAACTATTCAGCATAAAAAAATAATGGAATCCTGAAATTTTCAGGCAAATGGATGGAACTAGAAGAAATCATCCTGAGTGAGGCAACGCAGTCACAAAAAGAGAAACATGGCATGTACTCTCTCATATATGGATTTTAGACATATATCTGGGGAGTGCCAGCCTACAATCCCATGGCCAGAGAGTCTAGGAAACAAAACCTTCATTCAGTGGCTGATGGAAGCAGAGGCAGACTCCCATGGCTAAACAATGAGGTGAACTCAGGAAATCCAGTGACAGAGAGGGAGGACTGATGACCAAAGGGATTAAGACTGGGATGGTTTAGCCCCCAGAAACAGCTGACCTGACAAGCGTTAGCTCTTGAATCCCAGACTGATGCCTGGGAATCCAGCATGGGACTGATCAAGACCCCCTGAATGTGGGTGTCAGTGAGGAGGCCTAGGCAATATATTGGGCCTTGGGTAGTAGATCAGTATTTATCCCTGGCACACAAATGAACTTTGGGTGCCTATCCCACAATGAGAGATGCTTTCTCAGCCTGGACTCTTGGGGGAGGGTCTAGGCCCTGCCCTGGATGAAATGACAGACTATAGACACTCCATGGAGGGCCTCACCCTCCATGGGCAAATGAAGGAATATTGGTGGGGTTGGTGGGAGGGTGTGGGAAGCAGGGAGGGAAGGGGAGAGGGACCTGGAACTGACATGTGAAGCAACCTAATTTCTAACTTAAATTTAATAAATAAATAAATAAATAAATAAATAAATAATAAGGACGAATTATCTGTGAGGAAATGGACCCTAACCTAACATTGCAAATCTACTGTGGCCTAAGATTTTCATCCTCCACAACTATAAGAAATAAATTTCTGTTAGTAATCTTAAAAAAACTCCTACATTGGAAAGAGAAAGAGGAAATATTGCAGGAGCCAAAAAACCAGGGAAATTGATGTGAGATTGTGTCTCATACAAATGTCAGAAGCAACGCCCATAAAGTCTCAGCAGCATGACTGTCCAAACACGAATTTGACAAAGACAACAAAACAGACATACCTAAGTGGAGGAGAGAAAGCCTATGAGCCTTCAACCCAACATAAATAACTACAGAACTAGGAATTTCCCACTGAGCATGGGAGAAATGGTCTTCCCCAGAGAACACAACACCAATTGGTTATCCAATACCAAATGGTCAGTTCTGAAAACATACAGATTCAGTAGATTTATTAAAAAATATACATGCATATGCATATGCATATATTCATGCAAAAATAATAAATGTGAAAGGAAGTCATGGATTTGAAAGATAACAGGGAGAGTTACGTAAGAGGGTTAAGGGACTGTAAAAGGAGGGTAAAAATGGCATATTATAATCTAAGAGGTCCTTCCTTGATAATGAGATTGACGACTACCTTATATGTCACCCTAGATCCTTCATTCAGTGGCTGATGGAAGCAGAGGCAACACCCTCAGCTAAACACTGAACTGAACTCCTGGAACCCAGTTGCATAGAGGGAGGAGTGATGAGCAAAGGAGTCAAGACCCGACTCTTGAAACCCACAGAGGCAGCTGACCTGAACAAGGAGGAGATCATGGACCAAAGACTGATGACTGAGAGACCAGCATGGGACTGATCCAGACCCCCTGAATTTGGGTGTCAGTGAGGAGGCCTCCACAATATATGGGACCTAGGATAGTGGATCAGTGTTTATCCATGTCATACAAATGCACTTTGGAAGCTCATTCCATATGGAGGGATGCTCTCTCAGGCTGGATACATGGGGGAGGGCCTAGGCCCTGCCAGGATGATATGACAGACTTTGAAGATCCCCCATAAAAGGCCTCACCATCCCTTGGGAGCAGAGCGGGGATGGGGTGGGGAGTTGAGGGTTGGGGTCCAGGGGATGAGGGGAGGGAGAAGGAGCTGGGATTGACATGTTAAGCAAGCTTGTTTCTAATTTAAATTTTAAAATGTAACATAAAAAATAAATAAAAGGCTAAGAAAAAAGATGACCTTTTGAGACCTAAAAAACCATGATCAATGGATAAACTAGCAGATATTCTTTCATTTTTCCATCACCATGAGCTAGTGATGTACTTGTCACACACACAACTCAGTCAAGTGGTACACCACCTTTCAGAATGGTTCCCATTATGCACAGGTGAGTACTTTTATTCTCCAGATGAATACACTTATATGTACTCCAAAAATAATAAAATTAACACACAGTGTTCTGAGTCCATAATGTAAGTGGAGCAATTACATTCAGAATAACAGTGCAGTGGGAAACACATAGCTCACATGAGACTAGCAGTGGAATTGACATATTCCACACGGCATCCCTTGAGACCTCTCTAAGCACATACATAAGGAACAAGAACTAGACATACTTACCAGGGATTGACAACTCAAGGGGATCACTAGGCAGGGACCAAAAGAAGGAATTGTTTTTGGTAGAGCCAAAGCATCTGTAGGTCCTCCTGTGCCCTGGGCTCACAGGGGAGATGAGGAATGTGTTATGGGACTGACTTGAGCAGTTCTGGGGTAAGGAAGCATTTCCACCTCTGCAGAAAATGAAGGTGTCAAAGGAATGAGGTGTGTGACAGAGGAGAGTCACATTTCTTTCTGAGAATCCCTGAGGTCCTGAATCCACAGTAAGGGATGGCTTCTCCTTGTAAACACCTGGAAGTAAAAACACCCTGCTATTGGTTGGTCATGGTGACACATGCCTTTACTTCTAGTGCTCAAGATGCAGAGGCAGATTTATCTTTGTGACTTTGAAAATAACCTGCTCTATATACAGGTTTTAAGGCCACAGAGAGCTACATATAGAGACCCTGTCTCAAAGGAACTACAAAAGTCCCTTGTCTTAGTTAAGGCCTCTACTGCAGTGATGAAAACATAACAAAAAAAGAGGTTGGAGATGAAAAGGATTATACATGTACACTTCAACATTGCTATTCATCACTGAAGGAATCAGGACAGGAACTGAAACATGGCAGGATCCTAGAGGCATGAGCTGCTGCAGAGGCCACATAGGGGAGCAGCTAAGTGGCTTGATTCCATTGGCTTTCTCAGCCTGCTTTCTTATTCAACCGAGGACTACCAGCCTAAGGATAGCATAGCCCAACATGGTCTGGAACCTCTCCAGTTAATCAGAACTTGAAAAAATGCCTTGCAGCTGGATCTCATGCAGGCTTTCCCTAAACTGAGACTCCTTCCTCTCTGATGACTCTACCTTGTGTCAAGTTGACAATAAACTGGACAGTAAAACTCTGTTGTTTTCAGACTGATTATGAATAAGCCTACAATTCACAGAGTCTGACCAGGGAGAAGAAAAGATGAAGACAAAAGGTAACTAATCTATACAGATCACAAAACATGTTTCTATTATTTTTCCATGAACCAGAACCATAGAGATGTTCCACGCATGTACAGAAGTCTGACCTCAGTTCTCATGACCCTATCCCTTAGGGGCTATAGTCACATTTCTGACAGGAAGCTAGAACATTATCAGCAAAGAGAGAGGGTCACAAACCATACAGAGTCTGGTGTTGAATCTTAGCTGGTGGAGTTCTCGCCTAATATACACAGTTTCCTGGATTCTATGTTCATAACCACATGAATGGTATCATTATCCAAATCAATACTGCTAGTACCAGAAGAGTAGAAGCAGAGGTATCATAAACTCAAGATTTTGCTTGGCTGCATAGCTAGTTCAGGGCCAGTATGAGAAATGTGAGAATATGAATCAAAGAAACCTGTCAATAAAAATGGAAGCTGAAAAGGAAAGGAAAATGAGAGAAAAGGAGCAGAATGGGGGAGAGGAGAGAGTGGAGGAGAAAGGGGAGGGGAGAGAGAGGAGAGATGAGAGGAAGGAAAAGGAGAGGGAAGAGATCAATACATAGGAACAGATATACAGGGCAGGGCTTGTGATGGGGCATATGTGGCTCAGTGATGAAGACATCAGAGAATGATGCTGAAGAACAGTGTTCTTGGGCAGTTCCTCACCTGTCATCACCAGATTCAGAAGATCACTCTTTTGTGACCATTCACCTCCCTTTCTGTATTCACAGTAGTAAACTCCCACATTCTCATGTGTCATCCTCTGCAGACTGAATTCAAACACCTCCTGGGCTCCCTCTGGGGTATGATCAAACCATCTTCCATAAGGTTCATAATGGTATAGACGCACTGTGGTCACCCCTGGAGGGGTCCTGCAGAAGATGCTCACATCACTGCCTGTGGGAATCAAAGCACCTGGAACTGCCCAGATGTACGGCTGGGGTGGGGGTCCTGGAGAGACATAGGGAAAAAAGCAGTAGTCAACCGATGTCAGGAGAGGCTGGTTCCTAAGGAGTCATAGAGTAACTCCCACAACAATTACTAATTGAGAAATTGCCCCCAAAGACATGACCATTAGCCAACATGGTGGTGACATTTCCTCAGTTGATATCCCTTCTTCCAAGATCACTCTGCCTTGTGTTATGTTGAAAGACAACTAATCAGCTCTGCTCCAAAGTAAAGTCTCCTCAGTTTCAGAATTGAGTTTCTGGCATAGTCCCAGAGACCTGAACATGGTTACTGTTCACGACAATGTAAGAGTAACTCTCATAACCTTAGTGCTATCAACTGCCTCCACTCATTGTCTCCTGCGAGCCCCAGAAAGTACTCTGTGGGTTGCCACTCCTATCACCAAAACTTCCCACTTTCTTGGCCCAGTAAACAGGAAACAGCATTAAATCACTAACCTATATCTGACTTTGTCTCTTGCTTCCAGGAAAACACAACCATTGTTCCATCTCCAATATCACACAAACCCTGAGAGCTGCCAAAAATAAATGAATCCCATCTGTGTGGCAGGCACTTTAGACAGCTTTTATTCACCTCTGTCTCACAGACCGTGTGTCTTCCCAAGAACAGATCTCAGTAAGAGAGTCAGACACAACCAATGAGAGAACGAATGGGAGAAAAAGAAAACAAATTAGACACCAAGTGTCTGTATCCTCAGGAGGGAGCATGTGTGTGCAGTTAGCCCCTTCTCGGGGCCAGAGACAGATATCAAGTGGGCATTACTAGCATTTGATGAACATCCTCCACACGTTAGATGGCTGCAGTACCAAGGAGTAATCATTAAGTAAGTGTGCCAGGGTCTGCCAATGAAAATCCAGTCTGGGTATCTGCTAAAGATATCATGAATTCCTCCCATGCTACTCCCAGCCAAACTCAGGTTTCCTTGGATAAAGCAGACAACAGACTCACCATACTGTGCCCAGATGCTCTGGTCCATTAAAAACACTGAAAATAGAGCAAAGAGTCTGATAAGAGAAGTCTGTCCTGTTATACACTGATCCCGACCCAGAACTCAGATCAGAAGACCATGGCCAGATGGACAGGCTGAGGCCAGGGAAGAGTCCTCTGTGGCCACTAGGCCAGGTGATCATAGATTAAGAGATCTCTGAAAGGAACCTAGGTTACAAATCTGGAATTCTGTATTCCTTACCACTCTGGCTAAAAAATAATAACCCCTGTCTCACCTACCAAATCCAAGAAGAGCAGCTCCAAGGCCCATGGCAGTGCTTCATGCAAGATCTCCACATAAACAGAACACAGGACTGATGACACAGTTCCCACGGTGGGGCACACCCAAGAGAAGGACATTTCTGAGGGAAGGAATGCTGACATCCAACACAAAAGAGGAAGAGGATGTGTTCTTGCACAAGACATGTTCTGATTTCCTCCTAACCCACAGCTCTAGGCTGGGCAATGGTTCCTCTATGTACTTACTATTCTGGTTTAAATTCTCAATGACACTATGTAAAGTGGTAGGGGATGCTGTTGCCTGAATCACAAATACAACAAAGCCACATGGAAGGTTATTAGGAAAGGAAGGTAATGGGCTGAGAAAGTAATCAGAGGAAACCTCACCTTTACAATAGGCACAAACAACATAAAATATCTTTGGCTACCTCTAACCAAACAAGTGAAAGAACTGCTTGACAAGAACTTTGACGCATTAAAGAAAGAATTTAAAGAAGATACCAGAAAATGGAAAGATCTCCCATGCTCTTGCATAGGTAGGATCAACATAATAAAACTGGCAAACTTACCAAAAGCAATTACACATTCAATGCAATGCCCATCAAAATCCCAGCATAATTCTTCACAGACCTTGAAAGAAAAATACTCAAATTTATATGGAAAAATAAAAAAACAGGATAACCGAAACAACCCTGTACATTAAAGAAACTTCCAGAGACATCAAGGTCTACTATAGAGCTATACTCCTGAAAACGGCTTGATATCGGCACAAAAATAGACATGAAGGCTAATAGAGTCAAATTAAAAACATTGATATTAACACACACACACGCACCTACAAACACTTGATTTTTTACAAAGAAGCTAAAGTTATACAGTGGAAAAAGGAAAGCGTCTTCAAAAAAAGGTGTTGACATAACTGGATACTGGCATGTAGAAGACTGCAGATAGATCCATGTCTATTGCCATACACAAAACTTAAGCCCAAATGGACCAAAGAACTCAACATAAATCCAGCCACACTGAACCTCTTAGAAGAGAAAGTGGGAGGTACCTTTGAATGAATTGGTACAGGAGATCACTTCCTGAACAGAACACCAGTAACACACACACTGGTATTGACAGTTATTAAATGGGACCTCCTGAAACTGAGAAGCTTCTGTAAGGCAAAGGACACAGCCAACAAGACAAAACATCAGCACACACAATGGGAAAAGATCTTCACCAACCCCTCATCTGACAGAGGGTTGATTTCCAAATTATACAAACAACTCAAGAAGCTAGTGATCATCAAAACACCAAGAAAATACAATTAAATTGTGGGGTACACCTCAGGCTTGGGCCCACACCGCCCTCCACCCTCTGCCCTCTGCTTGAGGTGAGTGTGAGCTCTCCAAGGTCATGGCTCCTGCCATCTCCCGTTTGAACTTCCTGAGACTTCGTTGCAGATAATGGACCCTCCACAACAGGGAAGACCACCTAGAATCTTGCCACACATCAGAATTGGCTCCCCAGTTACCCTCCACTTGAGTATTTACACCCCATGCCCTCCGCTTGGGTAAGGAGACGCCGAACCTTCCAGAGTTGCAGACAAAAAAGAGTTGGCCAACCTACACCACTTGCAGATGAGATTAGAGGTAGAAACCCTACCTGCAAACAGTCAAAGGAGGGATGGAAAGATAGCAGTTTTAGAACATACTCAACAACAGAAATGCCAATATGACACCACCAGAATCTAGGGACTCTACAACAGCAAGACCTAAACAACACAGATGAAGTAGAAGAGTAGGAACTTAAAATCAAATTTATGAAGATATTAGAGAGCATCAAAGAGGAGGCAAGATAATCCATTGAAGAAATGGAAGAAAAATATGCAGGAAATGGAGGAAAAGACAAACCAAAAATTTCAAGAAATAAACAAATCCCTTAAAAGAAAGCCAAGAAAAAAACCAAACAAGTGAAGGAAAGAATTCAAACAGTTCAAGCTGAAATAGAAGAAATAAAGAAAACACAGAAGGAGGGGATGCTGGAAATACAAAAGCTGGGTAAATGATCAGGAACTATAGATGTAAATACATCCAATAGAATACGAGAGGTAGGAGAGAGAATTTCAGGTGTGGAGGACTCACTAGAGGAAATACACTCATTGACCACAGAAAAATCTCAAGTCCAGCTAATTTCTAACACAAAATATGCAGGAAATATGGGGCACCGTGAAAAGGTCAAACCTGCAAATAGTAGGTATAGAAGAAGGTAAAGAAATATAGGACATAGAGGAGCAGAAAGGTTGAGTCAGGGGAAGAATAGAGGAGAGCCGGATGAGGGATACCATAATAGAGGGAGCCATTATAGGTTCAAGGAGAGATCTGGCACTAGTGAGATTTTCAGAGATCTACAAGATTGACACCAACTGGCATTAAGGCTACCTTAAATGCCCTCAAATGACAATGAGATTGATGACTACCTTATATGCCATCCTGGATCCCTCATCCAGTGGCTGACAGAAGTAGAAGTAGACACCGACAGCTAAAAACCGCACTGAACTCTTGGAACCCAGTTACAAAGAGGAGTGACAAGCAAAGGAATAAATGATGGGGGAAGTCCTGTGTATATGTCAAGAAAGCACTGTTGGCCAATAGGGAACAAAGATAGGTGCGACTAGGAATCCAGGAGGATTCTGAGAATGAGAAACACAGAGAGTCAAGATGCAATGCCATGGGGTAGGAAGCCTGGAAATTTCTCTGGTAAGAGAAATACTTAGATTAACAGTTATGGGGTAATTACTTAAGTCAGAGCGAGCCAGTAAGAAACAAGCAAGGCCAACAGCTTCATAATTAATATAGCCTCCTGTGTGTTTATTTGGGACTGATGCGGCTCTGGAACCAGGCTGGCGGGAAGGCTTCTCTTTACATAATGGTGATCAGGAGTGGGTTGATGAATTTCCACATAGAATGACAAAAGCTTTAAAGGAATTTACAAGCCGAGATTCACGCGGCTCGCTTATGGGAGTCTTCCTGACTCAGCATAAAAAGAAAAAATAAACAGCAACGTTCTTTTAAGAGACACTGCTAGCAATTGAAAAGTTATACGTACAGCTGGAAGTGGCCTCAGATAGTAGATCATTATTTATCCCTGGCATACAAAGGGCTTCTGGGAGCCCATTCCACATGGAGGGATGCTCTTTCAACTTGGAAACATGGGGGAGGGACTAGTCCCTGCCAGGAATGATATGACAGACTTTGAAAATCCCCGATGGAAGTCTCTACCCACCCTGGGGAGCGGAGGGGGGGATAGAGTGGGGCTTGGGGATGGGGGAGGAGAGGAGGGAGTGGGAGCTGGGAGTACCATGTATAAAAAGTTAAATAAAAAAATTTTTAAAGAATGACCTGAGGAACACACAATAGCTTGATTGCAGGTAAGCAAATCTACAGTGCACTTTTTATGCTTAAAATTCAGATCTTATAAAAAACAATTGTTCTTATTTGAATGGGGAAAGGATAAATGGGGAAGATAGTGAGAGGAAAAGCTGAAGTAGCCTCATCCCAAACCTGAAAGTACCCTCCTCTTCTAGCACCAGGTCCAGAGAGACATGCTGAAAATTTCATGTCCAAACTTCTTTTTCTCTGTGCGCAAGTACTTTTTACATTAAATCACTTTCTAAGAAAAAAAAAAAAGAAACATACCTCAAGGGTACAGAAAACAAATTCAGGAAAATCATAGAAGAAAACTTTCCCAACCTAAAGAAGGACATGCCTATGAAAGCACAAGAAACTTCCACAACACCAAATACACTTGACCACAAAAAGAAGTCCCCTTGCCACATAATAATCAACAGATACCAAAAAATTGGAAAACTGCCTCTATCTCATCAAAAAAACATGACTTAAAGTTAGAATTCAACACCACAAATTGCAGAAACCCTAAAAACTCATGGAAATTGAACAATGCACAATTGCACCATCCCTGGGTCAAAGAAGAAATAAAAATGGAATTTAAAGACTTCCTAGAATTCAATGAGAATGAAAATACAACATACCGCAACTTATGGGACACTTTGAAAGCAGTGATCAGAGTAAATTTCATTTCACTAAGTACCCACATGAAGAAACTGGAGAATAATCAAAATGAGAGCAAAATCAATAAAGTAAAAACAAAGAAAACAATACAAAGAATCAATGAAGCAAGTATTTCCTTCTTTGAGAAAATTAACAAGATAGAAAAACCTTTACCCAAACTAAACAAAAGGCAGAGACAGAGCATGTTAACTTAAAAAATGAGAAATGGAAAGGGGGACTTAACAACATACAATGAGGAAATCCAAACAATCATCAGGTTATACTTTGCAAACCTGTACTCCACAAAATTCAAAAATTTAAAAGAAATGAACAATTACCTAGATAGATATCACTTACCAAAATTAAATCAAGATCAGATAGGGAATGTAAATAGAACTATAACACCTAAGCAAATAGAAGCAGTCATCAAAAGTCTCCCAACCAAAATAAGCCCAGGGCCAGACAGTTTCACTGCAAAATTCTATCATAAATTCAAAGAAGAGGTAATACCAAATACTCCTCAAAGTATTCCATACAATAGAAGCAGGAGACTCATTGCCAAACTCCTTTTATGAGGCTACAATTACATTAGTACCCAAGCCACACAAAGACACTACTAAAAAAGAGAACCGAAGACGAATAACCCTTGGGAACATTGATGCAACAATATTCAACAGAATACTGGAAAATTGATCCTAGTCTCCTTCTCTTTCCACAGGACTAGATAAATCAAGACCTGTTTCAGGCTGCCTTCCTGTGCCTGGGGACTGCCACTGTGTTTCCCATGCCAGCAGGAGCCAATGCACCCAAACACCCTAGTCCATTTCTCTGCCCATGGAACTAGGAAGTGGAGAGCTACCAGAGTACTGGAAATGCTTGTACCCACCAAAAGGGAACCATGGTCCCATACCCACCAGGAGAGGAAGAGGCTATTTCTGAACCCACTGGAAGAAAAGATGGGAAGGGGACAATATAAAAAACACACTCAGAAACAGAAAAACAAACATTACATGGCCAGAGTCTAGAGACTCTACACCAGCAAGACTCAGACATTCCAATTCAAATGAAGCAGAAAAGAATTAACTTAAAAACAACTTCATAAGAATGATAGAGGCCCTCAAAAAGGATATGAGAAAATCCCTTAAAGAGATGGAAGAAAAAACAAACCCAAAATGCAAAAACAATGCAAGAAATGGAGGAAAGGACAAAGCAAAAATTGCAAAAAGCAATTCAAACAGTGCAAGGGCTGAAGCCTGAAATAGAGACAATAATAGAACACAGTCTGAAGGAATGGTGGAAATAGAAAAGCTGAGCGAATTGTCCAGTACTACAGATGGAAGCATAAACAACATAATACAAGAGATGGAAGAGAGAATCTCAGGTATTGAAGATACACTAGAGGAAACAGATTCATCAACCAAAGAAAATATGAAGTCCAACAAATCCCTAACACAAAACATCCAGAAAATATGGGACACCATGGTAAGACCAAACCTAAGAAGAATAGGTATAGAAGAAGGTGAAGAAAGCCACCTCAAAGGGGCAGAAACACATTTTCATAGAAGAAAACTTTTC